AATGATATACGCGCAAATGTGTTATGATTTACCTACATTCGACAAAGTGCTCGATTTCCTAAGCTAAATCCAAAAGCGGTATAGCTGATAATTCCAGCGGTGTCGAGTATGACAGTTAATCCTTGTTTTCTATCCCAACTGCTGATTGTTTGAGGCAAAAATTCCACATCGTACGTTGAGAAGAAAACTCCGCCTCTTCTAAAATAATAATTGTATTAAATTATTTAAGAAAGAAATTCAAATAGTTTCCTTACTTTATTTCTGCAATGAGGTCATTTTCATTCTCATGTGTTATGACAGGATTATATATTGACAACTTCTTTATACGCTCTATATTTCGTTCGCTGGAGCCTTCCAGTGTCAGATTGGCAAAGTAGGTGAGATAGGTTTTCTTCTGCTCCAAGAGAGCTACAAGAAAAATTTGCTGCACACTTACTAAATAGAGATTTCTTAGAAAACCCACTCAGCAGCTCGTCTTGGTGATAGAAAGGAATGGCTGAGGTTGGTGGTGCAGTCAGCTTCGAGTTCATTGAAGACTGATAGTATTGGCTGACTACCAACATTGCTGCAATTAGTACTGCTTCTAGCACCTGGAACGATATGCTGTTATGACTAAGTCAAAAATAAGAAGAAAATTTTTGTATGAAACCATTGCAGACGCAGCTGTGGGATCGACTACCCTTTGTTTGAGCATTATTCCGTAAGTCTCCTAAAATATATAGACATAGCAATATCTGCAAAAATCATAAAATACCACCTACCAAAATGCTGCTTGTAAGAATATTTGTGCTAGGCGCATCTTTTTTGTCTATCAAAATGGCTATGACAAACCTAAAATTACTCTCATAAATTATTTGGAAGATGACCTATAGAGTTCTACCTTAGCATAGCCACCCCTAGAATTGTGACTAGTAACATTAGCCATACTTGAACCGTGAATGTCGCAAAAATAAAATTCCGAAAATCATTCTCGGGCGGTCGTTTGATAATGTATACTTGCTGAAATATTGCAAACTACAGAATAATCGAAAACAGTGTGCTGTCGCTTATTTCTAAAAATTACCTGGAAGTAACGAATGGGGAAAGTGAAATGGGCAGCATGCATGCGTTCAGGCGTAATTCTCATCGACAAACCGCTCATGTCAATATCATTCCTTGCGAGTAGACCCATAATTCCACTGGAAAATGAGAAGCTAATTTTCTTTTTTTCAAAAATACACATAATCTAGGAGCTATGCCCAAAATAAGCAATGAGTCTACCTAAAATTCCCGTCAGATTCAAGAATGCCGAAATCGTTAACAACACCGAATTCTAACGCTGTATCAACCTAAATGCGAAATTTTGATAGGGAAACAATCACAAAGTTTGAAGAGAATTTACAATTTCCCATTCCCATTTGAGCAGCTCCATGACTGTCTTGAT